TATATATATATATATATATATATATATATATATATATATATATATATATATATATATATATAATATAAAACTAGCCTTGGGCCCCAAAGAAGGGGACCTGATTGTTTTCTAAGACAGCTAAGCACTCTTCTGCATGCGCTGCATGCGGTGCATGCGTTGCATGCGTTGCATGCGCTGCATGCGCTGCATGCGTTGCATGCGTTGCATGCGTTGCATGCGCTGTTGCATGCGTTGCATGCGTTGCATGCGTGTGTTGTGGGGTGTGGGGTGTGTTGGGATCGTGTATGAGTGGATCCCGTGTGGGGTGTGGGGTGTGGGGTGTATAGGGAGGTGCATGCATGAAAAGATATTTAATAAAAGGCTGTATAAGTTCATCTTTATCTAACAAGGCTGCATCTGCTGCTGCTGTGATTAGTTTTTTTAAGCAGCTAGCTGCTGCTGCTGCTGCTGCATGCTGCTGCAGCAGCCCCAAATGGTTTATATATATATGAATGTAGCAACGAACTAAACGCCGAAATATTAATATACAAATACCACGCAATGCTGCTTCTTCTTTTTCTTTTTGTTTTTGTTTTTGTTTTTGTTTTTGTTTTTGTTTTTGTTTTTGGTTTTGGTTTTGTTTGTTTTCTTCTTGTTGTTCTTTGTTTTTGTTTTTTTCGTTTTCTGCTGCTGCTGCTGCTGCTGCTGCTTCTTCTCCTTCACCTGCTGCTGCTGCTGCTGCTGCTTCTTCTCCTTCTCCTGCTGCTGCTGCTGCTCCTTCTGCTGCTGCTGCTGCTGCTCCTTCTCCTGCTGCTGCTGCTTCTTCTTCTTCTGCTGCTGCTGCTGCTGCTGCTGCTGCTGTTGGTGAGGGAGGGAAGACAGCTGGGTTGTGTAGCTGCTGCAGCGCCCAGCTCATCGTAGCAGCAATATACTCTCTTGCTGTTGGTGGTTGCATGCGTTTTGTTTTTGTTTTTTTTTCTTTTTTTATTTGTTTTGTTTTTGTTTCTGTTTCTGTTTTTGTTTTATTTTTATTTGTCTCTCTGTGTGTCTCTGTTTCTCTCTTTATGCATGCGCCTTCGTTCTCCTCTTCTGCTGCTGCTGCTTCTGCTGCTGCTGCTGCTGCTCCTGTTCCTTCTTCTTCTTCTGCTGCTGCTGCTGCTGCTTCTGCTGCTGCTGCTGCTGCTGCTCCTGCTTCTTCTTCTTCTTCTCCTGCTGTTGCTGCTGCTGCTGCTGCTGCTGCAGGTTGTTTGAGTCTCCTATGTGGAGCGCCTCTTTGTGGGGCTGCAGCAAAAGCGATGAGTGGATCGAAGCAATCTGCTGCTGCTGCTGCTGCTGCTGCTGCTGCTGCTGCTGCTGCTGCACTGTCTCCTTCTCTGTCTCCTTCTCTGTCTCCTTCTCTGTCTCCTTCTGTGTCTGTATCTGTTTGTGTGTGTGTATTGCTGCTGCTGCAGCGTGGTGTATACTCACCAAGCCCCAAACTGCTGCATGCGCATGCATCAAAGACAGAAGAAAATAAGAGCTGTGCTTCTTCTATTGTCTGCAGCAGCAGCACACGCAGCCAGTCTCCTTGCGACAGTAAAATTTTGTTTGGTGGTTGCAGCAGGCTGCGTAGGTTTTCATCACTCTCACTCTCTTCTTCTTCTTCTGCTGCTGCTGCTGCTGCTGCTGCTGCTGCTGCTGCTGCTGCTGCTGCTGAGGTTTTTGCTTCAATTACAGAAGGAGAAGCAGACCAAAGAAGCAGTCGCTGGCTCGCACTCATCCAGCTGTCTGGACAGCTGCTGCTGCTGCTGCTGCTGCTGCTGCTGTTTGGCTCCACTGCTGCAGCAGCAGCAGCAGCAGCAGCTGCTGCTGCTGCTGCTGCTGCTGCAGGGGAGGAATCGATATCCGGGACACCGCAGAAGGGGCCCACAGTGCAACGCCGTCTGCTGGAGTTGGGATCCATGGGGATCGTTGAAGGCTTTATACAAAACACTCTGCTGCAGCAGCAGCAGCAGCAGCAGCAGCAGCAGCAGCAG